GCCATGACAACGTTAGAGAGGCAGTTATTGCTCCCTGATGACTACGGTGTGTGACCTGTGGGGTCTGTCTGAAAGCATCTTGGAGGGATGAGTTTGCAGGTCCCTGTTGCCACCAGTAAGGACCTTGGAGAAATATGCATCCTGACGAAAACTTGCAGAAAGCTCTGTTGGGTCTATTTGGACACTCTCTATAAACAGCTGCCTTGATTCAGCCCTCCCCTTCCTATGTTGACACAGATTGTGACATTTTTGCAGGTATAGGTCAGTAGTGTTATCTCAAGGAGATGGGGACATGCAGATCTTTGCATTTCCCATTGGCGCAGAGCTGCAGGATGGCCACCAAACTGCAGAGATGGCTCAGCATCACACCTTGGGCTGTTGAAAGAGCTTCCTTTCGTCAAAGGTGCTGGGGATTGTGGCATCGGGACAGCTTGCTACCCTTGGTCTGCTATGGAAAGCGTTATCCGACTTTGGAAAAACAACACACGGCTACTCCTGTCCCTGTATACCGAAGTGAGAGTGTGGGTGCTGGGTTAATGAGTGTGACTCTAAGATAGGTATGGAGGTCTCAGCCGTGGGAGGGTGGCTATTGCCCCGCTGATGAGACTGAGCCTGCCTTAATCTCACCAGGAAGGTGGCGATATGACCACTGCTCCCAGGTGTGCTGCAGATCTTAGAGGTGAGGGGCTGGATGGTTTCAGTTCCTTTAGGTCCCAGACAGGTACTTGGGCATCCTGGACCCAAGCACCAAGCCATCTTTGACCACCCATTGCTGGATGGTCATCTTTGACCACCCATCACTGCTAACCTGTGACACTCAAGTCACCTTCAGTGACACAGAGGATCAGCATTGCCAGAGCAGTGGCCTCCTCTGGGTGCCACATACTTTCCTAGAAAAAAAACAGCCTCCTACCAGGCAAACCTGCATCGTATTATTTTCCCATACTGTCACGAGTACAGAGGCCATTGGTGAGTAGTTGTGGGCCAGAAGGACAGTGTGGAGACCCTCCGTGCCCATTCACTTGTCCTGCTGGTCTTGCACAGGGGCTTCTCAAGGCTTGTGTGTCCTGTCGATCTCATATCGCTTTCGTGTGAGTGGATAGTTGGTAGGTATCTAAAGTACTTCTCGCTTTCTTTGCTGCTGAGCCCTGCTAAGCTCAGACTGTCAGATAAGCCTGAAGCAGGGTGATAACACAGACCTAGGTCTTTCAGGATGCAGAAGGGTGGACTGATATCCAAAAGATCAAGCAAAGCATCAGGATTGCTGCATTGATGCATTGTACTTATTGTGTAGCCCCATCTGGAGCACTTTACCATTGCAAGAAAAAGAGAGGTGACTTCAATATTACCAGCTGGAGGTCCCAGCTGGGTTCCTGTGTGCTAGGATTGCCCAAGAACACACAGTGAAGCATTTATGGCCTTGGAGGGACTGTCAGGTAAACAAGGGAGCAAGAAGGAAGTGGATCAGTGACAGATGATGCATGCAGATAAGGTAGAAACAAGAACCTCAGCCACATGCCCTGATTTCCCAGCCAGGTCTGTGTCTGCAGGACCTGCTGCGTTTCTAGTAAAGGATAGGAACGAATTTGGAAGAATCACTGATTTCATATTTTAGAGATTATAGATATTTATATTATTTACTTATTCAAGTAAAATTCAATAGGTATTCTTGTGGTAGATTTTGGGGGGTTTTTTTGTTGTCTTTTTTTTTAAACCCCAATGAGTTGAGAAGTAGGCAAAAGTAGAAAGTTGCATTTTTCAGATTTTTTTTTAAGACTTTCACCTTTTCAGGCACTGTTTCCTGTAAAAATTCATCCAAGTGTCTTAAGTGGGTGAAAAAGCAAAGTGAGTCAAAAGTTTGAGATGAAATGTTTTATTCTAAATTGACTGAAATACGTGGTTGCATCTGAGATGAAATTCCCTCTATTTTTTCAACAGAAAAATTGAAAAGGTGAAAAGATTCTTTTCAGTTTTCACGTCAAAGAACCCTCTTCAACTTCACTTCCTACCAAAACCATCAGGGTTCAACCAGAGCAAAACCATGGTTCCTGATGTGGTTTTGCTTTGTAGAGATCAAAGCTATAAGAGCTAATCAATATGTTAAAAGAAGTACATTCTTTTTTATCTAGATCTAGCATCCTACCTGCTAAGAAATGCCATGATAAAGTACATTAAGGTAGAATGGTTTCAGATCTCCGAGCGCTCTAGCAAGGCATTAGAGAAGTGTACAAGACGTACAATGGCTCTTCTTTACCAACAAATGCATTCAGAGCCTTTATAGTACAGGGCTGATGGGAAAAAAAACGCATTCAACAGACAAACACAATGCTGGCTTTAGCGTACATTCAAGCAATATGGGAGAATTATGTCAGAAACAGCTATAGGCTTTTCTTCGTAGTTTTATTTTTGCAAATAGGAAAACCTTCGTTGTTACCATGAGTTGCAGAATAAGATGGCTATTCTGTGGAAACAACTCTTTCGTAATCATTTCCCAAGTGTGAACACACTGCTTTGCCTCTCTGTTTTGTTACAGGGGGGAATGTGGATGTCATTTCATGTTGGAAGAATTTATCAGAGCCTTGCAAATTGTTGCTGGAGCATCATCAGGTTGCTGGCATTTGCTCAAAAAAATCACAAACCAGAAACATTATTGTAAAAATGTCAAAAGTCAGCTGCTGTCTTTGCATGAACATTCAAGCTGATAAGTATGAGGGGTGTAGAGGAGATGGTGCCCAAGTGCTAGCAGTCATCGGCCTTTTCATACCAAAATGCCTTGGACTCAGACTTCCCAAAGTTGTCACCCTGGGAGGAAAGCGTGAGAAATTTTGGAGGGACTAACAGACAGAAAGAGCTGTTTCTCATCTCCTGAAAACTAGGCCTTTCATGGTCTCTGTGCTCGAAATCACTAGTGACTTTTACAGTTATGGGGCCTGGGCATCTTAAGCTAAGCAAGAGGTTGCAACAGGTGGTGCTTTTTTTTTCTTGTGATCAAGGGTAGGTTTTCTCACCCACTGGAAATGTGACTTGGACATAGTTCTTATCCAGTGAATGAGAAAACATTGTTGTGATTGTAATGATGCTGATTTTTAATCTGTTTTGTTATTTTCATGCAAAAGCAGTCTACCAGTGCGTGAAAAACTAGAAGAAAGAGAAGCAGAAGGCCCAACACAGCAGTGAATTAACACCAAAAGAGGTTGGATGCTGGACATGTGGCAAGAAAGTAATCTGTGACAATAAGTAAAGTTGTAAGTGCCATGCTTTTACTTGCAGTACTGAGAATTTAACAGCCGGTACCCAGCAGTCAGGTCATCAGGTTTTGCAATATGCTGCCTTTAAAGATCTTTCTTTTGCGTAACGCTTAATCCCACTTTACCCAAGATAGGCGCGCTGTCAGATCTGCAGAGAACAGAAGGGAGAGAGGAAAACAAAATACAGACAAACCACGTGAATTTAAAAACATTTAAATTAGCATTTAACAAGTCAATTATTCAGAAAAGCAGCCTCATTCATTTAGATCTTTCCAAGTGGAGCTCTTCAGAAATACTAGTTAACTAGAAGCCAGACAAAAGAGGTGATCCCTGTGAGAACCATTTCTGTCCTTTTAAAACCTGTTTGACTATTACAGATGGGGGCAGTTGGAAAATAAAATATAAATATTCACGGTAGTCAAGAGAGTTTTGATCAGTGGTATATCAGGAGTCATTTTCCCAGTCACGTAGCTAACGGAAATTAATAGGAAAGGAGAAAAGACTTAATTAACTTTTCCTTTAAAGTGAACTGATTGCTTTTTCCCTGCAGGTTCTGTCCCTTTGACACTTCTCTGTGAAACAAAAAGGGAATGTTCTTTTGCGATGACTTTTCTCTACTTATGCTGTACTTTTTGAAAGCTGATATGCTTCAAGGCCCATTTCCAAAAAGTGACAAAATCCAAATGGACTTATATCGCAAAGGGACAGAGTTAGAAAAGGGGTTTAAAAAAAAGAGTGCCAAGACCTACTGAAAAATCCCCCTCTGCTCTTCCCTGCACTGACTGTTAAGTAACACAAAACCCCATTTCCAAAAAGTGACAAAATCCAAATGGACTTATATCGCAAAGGGACAGAGTTAGAAAGGGGGGTAAAAAAAAAAGTGCCAAGAGCTACTGAAAAATCCCCCTCTGCTCCTCCCTGCACTGACTGCTAAGTAACACAAAACCTGTTGATTTCTATCTGAGATTTGAGGTCCTGTGTTGGGCACTTGGGCAATTTCCCATCTTCTCCATACAGTGGACTGATGAGGCAACATATTCTGGTGGAAGCAAGCACAAAGTTCAATACCACATAAGTCAGGATTAAGTACAAGCCAAATAGAAAACAAAATAACAGTCCTTCACTTTAAAGTAGCAATAATTACAAAAGAATGTAAATTGCAAATAAGCATTTGCTCCCCTATACTTTGAAACAAACCTGAAATTTGAATGCACTCTCTTGTGTATCCTGGTCCTCAGTGTTAAACTGTAATATCTCTGAGAAAGTCTTGGTTACCTGAGCATATGTATTTTAAGAAATGAGATCCTGTTTATGTTCAAAGCCAGGTGTCTTTCTCAGTCAGGTACGAGCTAAAGAAAACTTGTAAAGAAAATAAAGAAAATGTCTACAGGCTCCATCAGCTTGCATTATAAAAGAACAACTTTGCACCAAATAAAAAAAAGTCTAAAAATGTGTTCTGCGAATAAACAGATTTTTTGATTTTGTTTGTTAAAGGAACCATTCCCATGAACTTATTAAGTTGTTCTTTTTTTTTTCTTTTTAAGAAGATCCTCCTTAGAAGAAAGTTAGAAGAAAAAGTGGGATTTTCTTTTTTCTATTGTGACATTATTTAGCTACTCTCTTTTGAAGGTAAGTTGTATGTTGTCAGTGCCATTTGAATGTGACAAGTGGATGTTCAAAAGTAATTTGACCGATTCACTCCCACTGACAACCCAAAGCATTGCTGTGATCCTCAAAAATACAACCCTTCATTCACTCACCGCTTGTATTCCAGGTTGCCCGCAGTTGGCTTTGCAAACCATTCTTCAGGGACTGCTCCACGTAGGATTTGGGATCGCATCCAGAGAGGAGGATCTCGCCAAGAAGAGCAATGTAGGCAATGGCCAACCGGAGCGTGTCGATTTTGGAGAGACGCTTCTCATACGGGAAGGTTGGTACGTGGCACCGGAGCTCATCAAAGGCCGAGTTGATGTTGAGCATCCTCTTCCTCTCGCGGACATTGGCGGCGTGCCGCTGGTGGGCATGGCCATGACCGTGGCCGTGATCGTGACCGTGGGGCGGTGGTGGTGGTGGGGAGCTGTCCAGTTCAGCACCCCCCGCCTGTTCTACTGCCGGCTCCCCCAGGGTGGGTGGGCAAGCAGAGGAGGGCCAAGGGGAGAACTGGTCTGCCAGGGAGGAGCAGTCTAGTAGGAAGTTATCCAGCTGACCATTGGGATCTGCCTGGTCCCAGAAAAGAAAGTCAGGTGTGGAGTCTTCCTGCTCGAAGCTGTAACAAAGTTCCTCCATCCTCTGACCCACCAGTCTGAAGCAAGGTAATGGAAATATTTGCAACTTCAGACTAAGCTGATTGTCAGGAAAATCAGATTCTAATTTCATTAATACCTCCTACCCCCAAAAATGTCAGGGGCAGGGAGTCCTGGTCGTGTTCTTGTGGAAGACTATTGCAAAAGTTTCCCCTGTTGCAAATCCAAGTGGGACTCATGATTTAAATACTTCATGGCTCCTCAGCAGGGCAATGATCCTATTCTTCTCCACTCGGAACTAATTAGTACGCGTGCTTCTCTTTTTATTAGCTGTTGACTACAAAACAATATGAATGAATGTAACAAGAAAGAATGAATTTGGTATTGACTTTCTCCTGGAAAATCCATTGAAGCAGTTATTGAGTTCTTCCACAAGGTCAGTCTGTCCACTTGCTATTTAGAGTAGAGTTCACACAGGGATTTTGTTGCTATTGTTGTTGGTTTTGGTTAGGAGCGGTTGGAGGAAGAAACAAAATGCAGTCCTTTATCTTTTCAGTAAACTGTTAATAGCCCCACGTTCTCCTATGGCTGGGCAAACAAAACGCTATTATAACGCTGTCAGAAACACATGATTCTGCCCTCTTTGACAACAGAAGCTAGTGGCATCTTCTGCACTTCTAGCAAGTGAATGGTTGGGATAAAGATATGGGATACACTGCTGCTTTAAATTGGAACACAGTGGTACCTGGTACTAAGTAAGCCTACACCACCTCATTTGGCTACTGTGTTTTCTGATTCATGCTCCTATTACAAATTTTGTGGGCAATGCAGACATTCAGTGCTCTGTCTCGGACCATGAAAAGGACTGGAAAATAACAGCAGCTGTAATAACCGCAGTGGGTGCAGTCCTAGAATGGTGGACTAGGCGGGCCACATCTTGAGAAGTGCTGGAAACTGGGAGAGTAGCAGGTGTTCAGCATCCTTGTGATGGGGTAGAAGGTGTTAAGCACCACCAGAACTTTAAAGCAAGTGCACAATAAAAGTGGGTGGTTCAGTCTCTTTGATTTCCACAATACTTAAGCCAAAGTTCATTCACAAGCAGTTTAAGTGATATCTTAAGGACTTAAATGAATGGAATGGAAACGTATTTTAAGTCAGAGGAAGCCTAACTGCTTTTCCTGAAGCATGCCATAAAGAATTTTAATCAAGACACTTAATCAAATGCTTGACTTCATGCACAGACTCATGTCCTGCTGCTGTGTGAAGTTTCAGGAGATGTTTATGGTGAAGTTTATGAACCACAGACAGCTTGCTGATAGGACAGCTGAAAGCACAAGTCTCAATAGCTTCAGGTAAAGAGCCAGAGAGCAGAAAATGACCTGAATTTCCAATGGATCCTAAAGGATCATCAGGTCCTCCATCTAACAATGACTTAGGATGCAGTCCTGGTAGCTTTGCTTTGTGAATAGAGGGCTTTATTTTAAGATAAGGCATAGACTTACAGGTTTATAGGTTCCTCTTCTTAGTAACCTGGCATTTTGCCCTGTTGCAGTCCTATCTGCTCCAGGAATTTTAAGGCAACAGCAAACAGGCTGCAGGAAAGATTTTTGCAAAGAGTAAGTGTGAGAAGGTTGCATTGTATGAAACACAAGGACTACCTTTTTTCTTCTTGTGCAAATTGAACAAGAAACCCATTATCTGTAAATCTGTAAATCTAAAAAAACAAGAAAATATCAAGTGTGACAATACAGGGCAAATAGCAGTTAAATAATGAGAATTTCTTCCTTTCCTGGTCAGCTAGTTTTGGACAAAGTAAATAATTTGTCATGATACCAACATACCCAACAACAAAATATTGGTATTGTGAAAGTCCATAGTGACGGGCAGCTTCTGCTCCAGACGAATCCCACCAAGGGACAAGGCAGCTGGCTACAGGGCAGGAAGGGATGTGAGAGGGGTGAAAGGAATAGCCAGGGTCACAGGTGGCAGAGCTGAGACTGGGACTTGGGCCAATCGATGTGGAATTCATTCTGCAACAGTTTCTTTTGGTTCATATCACTGTATTTCCGAGTGTCAGGTACAAGCAATGTTCCCTCTAAAAAACCAACATGCTACAGCTCCTGTGCTTGGCAGTGGCTGCATGTCTGATCCCGGCGGTCCCTTCTACACCCTTGTTAAGCAGATTTGGGCTCAGCTATGCAGAAAACAGGCAGCAGAAAAGCCTTCCCGAGATCTCTGCATCACCTCTACCGTGATGCGCGTTGCATCACCTCTACCCAAAACACCTCTGCAGCACTGCTGCTGCATTGTTGGCCTCCTGTGGATGCTGTGCACTTCCTAGGTTTCAGATTCTCTTTTAGATGTTTCTATGGCTCCCCAGTCACTGTTTAACTGAGTACTTGGTAGTGCTCGTTTGGCCACCTTAGGCACAAACATAAGACACTTTAAAATACCGAAATCGGCAAGACAACAGCAGGCCTTCTCCTGAACAGGACTCTGGAGGAGACAGTTGTTGTCCACTGGGAGCAATGGGCAAAGACAAGGAGGCTCAGCCTGTAACATGGTTAGTTTTATGTGCTGGGTTCCTCTTTCTCGGCAGATGCTTCTTCAGTGCTTCATGTTCCCTTCCAGATCCATCACTGCTAATAGTGTTGCCTGGGGATATGTCTGGCTCCACAGATGGAGAGCAGATGTTCCAGCAAGCCTACTTTTAGCGTGTTCAAGGGGAATTTGGCTCTCTTAGAGAGACTCTGAACAAAGCAGAAGGGGGAAGGGTAGGGAAAAAAAGAGAGAAAAGCAAGAAAAGATCTCCCCACAGAAAGCCAGCTATGAAAGAGGTCAGGTCTCAGAAGAGAAGCTGAGGTTCCCATCCCTCATATGAACAACCCTTACCATAGCTTCAGACCTATTGCACTCTCAATGTTTGTGCAACTCTGTCAGAGAGGGAGGGAATGTACAACTAATTGGGCTAATTTTGCACTTGCTTGGAAGATGTGGGCAAAGGAGTCTCCAAGAGGGGAAAGAGGCACCGTGGGTACCACGCTGAGTAAGGGTGCTGTTGATTATGACATGTTGCCATAATTTCAAGATCTGCTTAACCACCGTTTTCCCCAAAATCTCTTCAGACCAAGTGGGATCCAGAAATAACATTTGGCCGCTGGTCATTTTGAATCAGTAGGGTTGAATGAAAGCAAATTCTTGAGTCAGAAACTTTGTCCCGGGTTTCTGTCTATGATAGGCAATGGAGTCATGGTCATTTGGGTTTTAATTCTTCCAGGTATAGATATCTATGTCTCCCTTTATAATTTTCCCTATTCATGCTGGGAAGTACGTTCCTCAGTCCTGTCTCCCTTTCTCTGTCATCTAAACAAATCCACCCATAGCAGACTCTGCAATTTTGCCGATTTCATAGAATTTTGGGTACAAACCTGCTTTCAGGGAATATTTCCACTGCGGTTTTTTTCTTCACAGCACCTTGGCAGCTGAAAGCTGTTACCCCGTACTTGTATCTCTAAGATAACAGGGTGTCCTGAGGTTATTTTGGAGTAGATTTTTCTCTCCTGTTCTTGTCTCGTTGGCCTTATTTCAGACTTAGCTCGGGGAACCTTCCCAATGACATTTTTAATGGAGTCAGTGAAACCTCCCAGTTCTGGCAAAATGGCGCTTTTTTTTTTTCCCTCTTTTTTTCCCTGGGAATTTAGTTTGAGCATGTTTCCATCATCTTTAATTGCTTAATAAAGGGAGTCAGTGCTTGGCCTGGACAAAGAGCAGATGTAGAAAGGACCAGATGCTTTACTTTCAAGTTAGATGACTCCAAAGTACAAGAAGTCCATCATGTCATTGCTGCTAATTCAACATTATGCTGCGCAGCTCATCATCAGAGCTGGGAATTGGGTCCCAGATGAACAGAGAAGACCAGATGAAAGACACGAAAAATCTTGGGGAATGCGTTATCCAGGTGGGACGGTGCAGCTCTTGGTGGTGTAACTCACTCAACATGTGTAGTAATAGCACTGCCAAACTACAGCTATGCGGAGGGATCTCCAGGACCTGAGCTGGCCTCATAATTGACTGGTTGAGCTCCTTACAGCCACAGCTAAAGGGTGGACCACCAAGCTCCTCTTCATTCTTTTGAGCCACACGCCATGCCTGGGATACCTGAATTAATGGGCACATTGTTTGTGAAGTGCTAGGGGCAAGAAAAGTACAAGTATTATCATTTAACAATGGAATGTGCTTCTTTTTAACCTAAAACAATAGCAAATGTAACGATGTAATGAAAAGCAGAACAAGGATTTCCAGGGCAAGAGAATTTCAAAGGGATAATGGCTATTTCTGAGATGCTTAAATAATTGTGAAAAGAAACCTTCACTGCATATGCAGGATGTTGATTTTAAGTGAAAAAGGTAACAGGACCTTTATTATTCGCAGTGTAGAAACATCAGAGGCCAAAGATTGTGGAGGAAGGCACTGGTGAATGATTGTTAATATAACTTTGATTTATTTCATTATTAGTATAAACCAGTCAAGACGGTCTTTGCTTTAAAAGTCTTTGGTGTTTAAAAGTGAACACAGTCACTTTAACCTTTCTGCAGGGTGTTTGCAAAGTTACAGAAAATTAATCCCAGTCTCTGGGAGAAGGAAGGTATTTTCTCTAATAAAAACACTCACTCGTGGTTTCCCTTTTTTCACAGAGATTTTTATGAGTTAGGAGACGATCTCTGGACTGTTACTGCCAGACAGTTCCTCATCCAAGTCACTGCACGGGGGTCTGTGACTGCTTATTCGAGTGAATGGTCATCTTTGGGAGACAACATGTACAACAGCCTATGTTTAGCTGTTCAGTTTTGATCTCAAGGGGATGGAAGTGCTCATGAGAACTTCTGAAGGAAAGCGATGTTCCTCATGCGGTGGTCTTAGGAAGTCTGCTTGCTCTGCCTTCCACTCTGTCTTCTTCAACTATCTGAGGAAGAACTTCTGTACTTTGAGGGTGGCCGAGCACTGACACAGGCTGCCCAGAGAGGCTGTGGAGTCTCCTTCTCT